CCAGGCTTTGCTTTGGCCTGGCTGATGCCTCTTACCCGCCCTCTGTATCGGGGATCAGGGCGGTGAGTCGATCTCTGGAGCGCTTCCTGCGGTTTTCGGCTCTCAGTCACTTGCACAAGTCTGGAGAGGGGGGTTTCCGGGGTGTTCCAAACCAGCAAGGGCAGATTGAGGGGCTATTTCCAGCATCCTCTGTGCTTTCCTGTTGTGTCTGCAGTAGGATGCCCACCGCTGCACGATTTTATCACCTGTTGTCCACAGGTGTGCCATAGCGGCCCCTTCCTACCCCAGTGTGTCCCCAAGGCACTTTCTTCTCCTGCCCCTGGTGTGCTGATACTGAGCGGAAGGCCTCCAGCAGTGACCATCAGCCATTGTTAGTGACCCAGAGGCTCTATGGGTTATTCTTGTGTGCTTGAGAAAGTCCTCATGGGGGTCTTTATGCTGGGGCTGTGAGAGCAGATATGCTGGAACTGAACCTCGTTGGCCCACATTGACCCCATCTGGAGATCTTTCCGTTCCTCATTTATTGGTGAGTTTAGCATCAAGAGTCTGCCGTGTTAGAACATTTTACTGGCCCTGGGCAGGGTGGTCTCTTGTGTGGCCTGATAATGGGATCACATCTCCTTTTTAAGGCAGAGTTTAGGTAGCACAAGGCAGGCCTATGTGACAGAGGTGGGGCCTTCACGTTCCAGGCCCCCTTCCAGCGATAGATCCCAGCTCTGCAAGGGACGTAGCCAATTTCCCTCGGACTCCTCCAGGAGTTATCTCATCTCTGAATCTCTGTATAGACCATTTTAGGTCCTTGATACACTGATAATAAAATACGGAGTCCTTATATTCCCAGGCTCTGTGGTAGGATGCCCCCCACTGCACGATTTTATCACCTGTTGCCCACATTGATGTAACTCATGAAGAAGAAGGAGAGGGGGCTAACGGGGGCTTGGAGGATAAGGAGCTTCCATTCCCAGCAAGGCTGCCTTTTCTTCCTCCCTCCCTCGAACCTGCAGCATTCCTGCTTAGCTGCTGGGTCCATCCTCAGAAACAGGCCACGAGGACCATCCAACCTTGGCTGATCTTGAAAAATGACATAAAGTCAGAGGTTGGGAGAGGAAATCCAAAGATTAATCTGGGAGTCAAGAAAGCAAAGGCCAGCCGCTTCCGTCTTGTTGCCAAGAAAGGCATCTAAATATGTCCACGGAGCCACTCGGAATGGACTGACTTGAGCGGCTTGTGGCCAGGATCTGGTCCTGAGTCCTCCCAGTCTGGTGTCAATATCTGATGACTAATTTTTAGGTGGGGGGGAGCTAGTTTGGCTTCGCCTCCCTTTCTCTCTAGCAGGTAACCAGCTTGGCTTACAACCCAGCCTGAAACAAAACTCTGTGGCTCATTTCAGTACATTTGCCTTCGAAGCAGAGCCGACTTCTGCCTGCGGAGCCTCCCAGTCTTTCCCAGCAAAGGTTGAGAATCCGGCGAAGGGGCCCTCTCGCTGCCGGGCTCCCTGACTGCCTTCTGGGCTTCGCTGGCCCTTTCGTAAACCGGGAGCCTCGGAGATGTGGAGAGCAGCTTCTCGCTAGGCCTTGGGACCCTTCGTGTGGTTGCCAGTCCTGCCCGCAGATCTTGGCCGGCGGTCTAAAATAATACTTCATATTAAGAAGTTATATTTTGCTCTTATGGAGCATCGGCCCTCTGTCTCTGCAACAAGCCTGCGCTCAGCCGTTTTTAGATTAGATCGATTAAGGAGAAGGGCCCTCCTTGTCTCTTCCTGTTGGGACAGGAATATTGTTGCTTTGGTGCTTCCCTGCCCACAAAACTGGCCCCCTCCCTGTTGGCGGAAAAGATAGACCCCTTTGAATCTCAGTAGAATTTGATGCCTTTGGAGGGAGGGGCAGGGAGCCCCTGTGGCTGCCCCAGTGTTGTGGGACAGTGAGGGGTATTTTAAGACCAGGCTGCTCCACCTGATGGAAGAATCGCTGTCCAGCACCTTCGGCCAAGCTACGTGCCTCTGGACGTTTGCCAGCAGAGCGGGGAGCTTGCTTGCCCACAGAGTGTGGCCATTGGAAGGGCACTGGCTTCGGGTTGAAGATAGGGACAAGCAGTTGTTGATAAACACATTTAAATGTTCTTTTAAGGACCTTGGAGGCCTTCCCTCTGCCTGAAGTTACCCAGAGGTTAACTGGAAAAGCCTCCCTGGTCATAGAGGCGTCTCTCTGATGCTGACTTGGATGTCTTCTCATCACCAGGCAAAGACCTTTCACTTCGGCAGGTCTAAACCTTTTACTTCTGGTTTTAATTCTGGATTATCTGCTGCTCTGAGGGTTTCTTCCTTAATCTTGGTTTTTATGGATTCATAGAATTCTGAAGCTGAAAGGGCTCACTGAGGCCACGAAATCCAACTTCTTGCTGATCAGGGCAGAAATCCAAATCCCTGACAAATGGCTGTCCAGCTTCTAACACATCCAGCCGAGAGGAGCTCCACACTTCCTTAGGAAATTGGCTTCGCTGTCAGCCTGCTTACTACTACTACCACTGAGATGTTTTTACTAATATTCAAAGGGAAGCTGCCTTCCTATCACTTATCCTGGGACATACAGAATACAGTAGATAATATAACAATGCATGATAAGTAATTTCTCTGGGATGGTAGAGAATAGGTCCACCTTATTCTATGCAATATCCCTCGGAGACCCAGCTCATGGTACTTGGGCATCTTGTGTCAGTGCCGAACATGCCCATCTCCCTCAGTCTCTACTTGGAGGATTTAGTTTCTGCTCCAATGATCATCCTTACTATTCTTCTCTGATGCCCAATTTGTCAGTCTATCTGAATCTGTCTTAAAGTGTGGCACCTTTTGGAAATTTTATTGATTCAGCCTAAAATTTCATTTGTCATGTGGTGTTCTGTTTACTGTTGTTCAGCCTGTGATTGACTGTGATTCGTTCCATCTGCTTTTATTCAGGACGGCGGGAGCGGGGGCTCAAAGGGATGAAATAACTGAGTGGATGTTGCTAAGGGAGACCATCCCTCTCTTGCCACCAGCCTGCTTGGGGGTCTCACCCAGCAAAGGGCCTGAGAGGGCCCGGCCTAGATCCGGCAGTCGGAAGGCCAAGGCTCTGGGCAGCCTCCCCTTCCTCCTCGGGACTGCTCTTGCTCTGCTCCCTTGCTTCCCGTTGCCCCACAGAGAGCCTTTCAGCTCAGAGCCACCTCTGGGAACGTGTGTTTGTTTGGCTGGAAGCCCATGCTGACTGATGAGCGAGCTCTGGAGGGTCCTGAGTGCACCCTGGTGTTTTGGAGAGAGGAGCAAGAAGAGTGGGAGGCCGCGGAAAGAGGCTTGACGGGGCCACCGGGCTGGCTGCTCCCTCATAGAAAAATATCTTCCAGTGGTGGGCAAAATCCAGGCCAATTATATCCAGGCACCTCCCTCCCCTCCAGCCCGGGGTCTTCTCTGTGGATACGGACATAGCGTTTTCCCCTCGTTCCCAAGAATCCCTGGCATGCTGGCCTTCGGCTGAATCAGCCCCCTGGGCAGTCAAGCCCAGATGCCCGGCCTGGCTGGTGGCAGCTCTGCCAGAGGCTGGGGAGAGGCCTTTCCTGTGGGGCTGCCCCACGCAGCTGCCCCCCTCGGAACAAGAGCTCTCCAGGGAATGGTCAGGAGCCGGTTTGCCCACTTCAGCAGGCACCGGTGCTGGACAGCTCCCGGGTGCTTGCGAAGGGGGCGGCTTGGGGTTCCTGGGAATCCAGGGCCTTGGGGAGAGCCCTGGATCAGGGCCCCACGTGCAGGGGCCCCCACGGAGGCATGAGTCAGGATTGGAAGCAAGCAGGTGGACTCATATATTGCGCCGAAGGCAGTAAAATTAAGCAGTTAAAATAAAAACCCGGGAGTCGTTTTACTAGTTCGTGCTCCCCCCACGAAGGCACTGATGCAGCCTGCAGGATGTGGTGGGTGGGTGGCTGGGGCTGCTCAGCCACGGGACTGCTCAGGGTCTTCAGAAAAGCCCTGTGTCAAAGGGATTTTAATTGGTACTGGGTGTGCATTTCTCCCCCCCCAGTCCCTCCCCCCCTTTTTTCTTGCAATCATTTGAAACATCATTTTAATCATGGGTGTGTGTTTTCCCAGTTTCCATTCTGATGAGCAGCAATGGCATGTTTCTTTTTACATGGATTTTGGCTTTCAGATTTTGGTTTTAAGGTGTTTTTTTATTGATATATTAATAAATGTTGACTGCAGTTGGTTTAGGTTTTGGTGGCAGTTTCCTGTCTGAATATTCCTTCTGCAAGTTCAAACTAATGGAACTGAGCAACGGCAAAAAACCCAAAAAACTGAAATTGGCATCTTGGGGTTGGAGGAGCAGTGCGGTGGTGCTGAAGACTGACTGGGAGAGCGTATTGTTCTTGTTGGTGTAGGATGGTAATAAGCCCCTTTTTAGTTTGCCAGACCTTTGATCTATTGTTTGTTGAGAATAAGATTTTTTTTCACAATTACCATAAAAACTGTTCCCAATTTATTTTGTTAATTGTACTTAGTTGTTTGATACTGTATTTTTAAAATTACCATTGAAATGTTGTTGTTATTATTATTGTTAGCTCCGGGGGGACAACTGGTGGAAAACAGAACAATGGAAATATTGCTAAGGGGGAGGGAATCTTCTCCTTCTTACTCCCTTCCCCTGGGTAAAGACAGGACCTGAGAGATCCCTGGGGAATGAAAGGACGCTGGGTCTGGGAGGGATCTCTGCCGAGGGCTAGGGAATCAGATCAATGGGGCGCTCTGAATCGGAGGAATCAGTGGCTCAGAGGTAAACCCGTTCTAGAGCTGGCAAGCTTTGGGTTGGTTAACGAACACCTGGATAGTTGGCACACCTAGGAGAAGGGAAACCGACCCTGGCTCTCCCCGCTCACGGGCTTCCTGGGACCCCTGTGCCAAGGCCCAGGACGCGGCAACGGAGAACTAGCGGAGGGCAGGCGTGCAGGAGCCGAATTAGGATTGGTGTGTTTTGTTCTTTCAGGCCAGCCCTTCTCCCATCATTGTGAACACGGACACCCTGGAGCCTGGCCTCTCCGTAAGTCTGCCTCCCCTCCTCAAGTCGCTTGCTCCAGGACGTGGCCCTTCTCTGCCACCCTTGGGTGGCATCCATTGCCTGGGGCCTAAGGAAGGGGGTCGGATTGATCAATGTGAGAGGTCCCTCTCAAGCGGGGCCTGGATGCATCCACGGGGAAGAGCCTGCTGTTTTCTCGGGGCAGGCTGCCAGAGCGTGCTCACTCGCAAACGTGGCTTTGGGCTGGGCCCCAGCGTCCTTTGCTCCAGGTCCTACCTGCCTAGAGAATGTGTGTTTCAGGGCTCATCAGACGTGTTTATTTTCCCCTGTGGGACCTGCTTCCTCACCCTTATCTCTCTGCAGCCAGTCAGCCACCCGAGGCACTCTGGGCTGTAGCATGGCTGCTAGTTAGGGATTTGTGTGGAGGGGTGTGTGGGGTGGTGGTGGAAGTTAACGTGACAACATCAGAGCTCCTGGAATAAGCCACACCAGCACGGCAGCGCACAGAGTCCTGGGTTATTTGACCAGAATTTGCTGGGGAAAGGGCGCATTTGGGCAGAATCTAATTTTAAGTGCTCATTAATCACCGTAACCCTCAAAGATGATTCAGTGACCGTTACTGCAAAAGACTTCTGATGATGTTCTGTCCAGGCTTAGCAATCTCTTTTCACCGAAACTCTCCTGCTTCACGGCCAGGACCTGCCTGATCCTGGCCACCGCAGCACATCTGCTCCGATTCGTGTGACTCAGGAGAGGTCTTGGCTGGGGTTGAGGCTGTTCTTCAGGCACCGGATTCTGTGACCCAGGAACGTGACAGTGATTTGCTCCACAGATCCTCTTTCTGAGCCCCGGAACTTTTCTCTTTCCTCCCAGGTGAATGGCAGCGACGGCATGTTCAAGTACGAGGAGATTGTCCTGGAACGGGTGAGTAGAGTCCAGCCTTTATGGCCTCGAGCACATCGGCTCTCCCTGTCCAATCACGCAAGCATGCACTTCTGGGCACAAAACGTGGCCCGCACGGAGCAGGGGACTCTCTCTTTTCTGCAGTGACCTTAGGAGATGGCACTCAGCGAGGTCTCGAGTCCTGCCCCAGCTATGGAACTGAGCAGGGCTGGGAGATCCAGCTTCACCTGCCAGGGTTGGCATCCTCACCCAAGCCTTGCCTCGTTTTCCTGCCCTCCAGTTGCTCTCCTGCTCTACGGGGGGCTGTTTCTCGTTCAGAGGGGTGGGTCTTCATGTCACGTCTCTTTCCAGGGAAACTCCGGCCTTGGCTTTAGCATTGCCGGGGGCACCGATAACCCACACATCCCTGATGACCCCGGCATTTTCATCACCAAGATCATCCCGGGTGGAGCGGCTGCCATGGATGGGCGCCTGGGGTGAGTGTTGGGTGGCACACAGATCCCCAACCCTCTCCCTGTGGGGCCAGATCGGAAATGAGATGTTTGCTTGTGGCAAGTGCTATCAGGAGGAGGAGGGCTGGGAGGTTTGCCCAGGCGGGCACGATGCTTTGAGGGCCGGCCCTTCCTCCCTCACCCTCTGGTCCCGGGCGCAGGGTCAACGACTGTGTGCTGAGGGTGAATGAGGTCGATGTCTCTGAGGTGGTGCACAGCAAGGCTGTGGAGGCCCTGAAGGAAGCGGGGCCAGTGGTGAGGCTCCTGGTCAGGCGAAGGCAGCCCCCGCCAGAGACCATCATGGAGGTGAACCTGATGAAAGGACCAAAAGGTGAGAGGCTGGATTTGGGGACCTGGCCACTTTAGCCCACGCTCATCGAGTCTCAGGGCTGGAGGTTGGGGGTCACTGAATGGGGTCTGAGCAGAGCAGGGCAGTCGGACAGCTTGGCTGCTGGGGGGCTGAAGGAGTTGCTGGTGGCCGGGAAGGGGACCTGACCAGAGCAGATGCTGTGAAGGCTCCTGGAGAAGGGCCGGATGGGAAGCTGCTGAGCAGTCCCATCATCCCAGGAAGAATCAGCTGACTGGTCTCAGCTGCGTGAAAAGGAGAAAATCATAAGGCCCTGCGGGAGTTGAAGTTGCTGGGGGGGCTGCCTCAGGCCACCACCCCAATGCCTGGGCCTTGCTTTTCACAGAGAGCCACCCCACCCAGCAGGGCTCATTCCTCCTCTGCGATTTTGGCCATTTGCAGCGGAGCTGTGGCTCCCAGAGGGCACCCACCCCTTTCTTGGCATTTGGCATTGCCTTTCTCAGCCCTCTGTCCTGTGCCAATGGCTGAGAAGCACCCATGAATCTTAAACTTGAGATTATGAGAGGGGGCACTTCCCCTCCAATGCAGCCCTGGCAATGCTCGCTTTTCCCAGGGCTGGGCTTCAGCATCGCCGGTGGCATTGGGAACCAACACATCCCAGGCGACAACAGCATTTACATCACCAAGATCATAGAAGGCGGAGCAGCCCAGAAAGACGGGCGGCTGCAGATCGGGGACCGGCTGCTTGCGGTGAGTACCCAGCGCTGCTGCCCTTATGCATTGCGGCGGGCCACGCCGTAGAGGTCACCGGTTTTGCCTCGCGGCGCTGAGCCCCGGAGGTTTCCAGCTACGAAGCGTGGCTTCCTGTTGCTTCCCTTGTTCTGGTACGATCCAGAGTTGCAGGCCCAGCCCTCCTGCAGATTGCTGGGCTGGTTGCGAGAGCTAGGAGCGGACCCTCCATCTTCTGAGGCAGCCTATCTTTGGGGGTCGCGCATTGGGACGTAATGCAGGGGAGGCTGTTGACTTTCCCAGCGGCCACAGCGGGAAACAAGGCTGGGGCAGGCAGGCTTTGGGGCTGCCTGGTGTCTTGTGTGACTGGTTCGGGCAGCCAGAGTGTACCTGTGTGCTGGTCTCTCCCCCCTCCCCTCCCCTCCCCCCCTCCGCAGGTGAACAACACCAACCTGCAAGAGGTCCGGCACGAAGAGGCAGTGGCTGCGCTGAAGAACACCTCTGATATGGTGTACCTGAAAGTGGCCAAGCCTGGCAGCTCCCACCTCAATGACCTGTACGCGCCCCCCGACTATGCCAGCAGTACGTTCCCGACCCCCCCCCGACTCCAGCTCAGCGGAGGAGCACCTGGCTCTGCAGAGGGCAGTCTGGGTGGCAGCCGAGGGGGAAGGCCGCCCTCTGGCCGAGAGCAGCAGAGGCTGAGCCTGGTCTCCCCCCCTTGTCTCCCTAGCTTTTTCTGCCTTGGCCGACAACCACATAAGCCATAATCCTGGCCTAGGCTACCTAGCAGGCATGGAGAGCAAGCCCGCCTACCCTGCTCCCCCCCAGGTCACGTCTGGCCGCTACTCACCTGTGCCCCGCCACCTGATTGGGGAGGAGGACTTCACCAGGTGAGCAGCGATGGGGGGGTCACACGGTCTTGCTGGGTTCACCAACAAATACGGCCCGCGGGGCTGCTCCCCCCCAGGGGCCACCTTCTTTTGCTGGCTTTCTCTGTTCTGCCTCTGGTGTGCAAGGGGGGGTTTCACGCTGGGACGCAGGACTCCCCCGGAGGTAAAGCAGGGAAAAGCCAGCCTTCTGCCAACGACACCCGAGGCGTTAAGCTGAAAACCCGAGGGATGGATCTGTGACCGCTGCAGTTTGAACCAGGCCCTCCTTTTGCATGGCGTTAGGAGGTATTCTGGCACACTCTTGCAGCCCCAGCAGGCAGGGAGCTAGCTGGCACTGCTCAGAGTTTGGGGGGCTGGCGAGGCAGACCCCGGGAGGATGAGTTAGCCTTCGCGCAGCCCTGCTGCCCACAAGGCACTGTGGAGGACACGCGGCCCGGCCTTTTTCTGAGCTGGAGATGGGCAGACGAGGGCTCTGTGGGCAAAGGAGAGGTCAGAGAGTGGCATCAGAGGAGCTGGTAGGGCCGAGGCATGGCCATCCCTCCTGTGGCACTAGCTGCGACTACTGTACCCAACTGTGCATCAGCGCTGGCTAGTGACCACACGAGGGCGCTAACCAGAATAAGGCAGAGGAAGGATGGCGGCCGATGCCAGATCTGAAAGCAGAGTATGGTTTGCTTGTCTGCTGGGGGTGGCAGAAATGGAGTCCATAAATGGGGAGCTCCAGGGGACTGTCCTTGGCCCACCAGATGCCCCACCCCAATCTCGAGCAGGCTGTGATTCATAGGCGGGGTAAAGGGGCCCTGTGGGTGCATTAAGGGTTTAAGCCTCCTGGGCAGGACCCTGGCAGCTGCGTGGGTGCCCCAACTCTGCTGCCAGAGGCCTCTGGGCCTGCCCTGGAGCTCTGGGCTCTGTGGGCAGCCTGGTCTTCCACAGAGCTGGCTGTGCAGGCGGTGAGTCCGCCTCCTCTGCAGGGAGGTCGGCCTAACGGCCCCTCCTGGCCGGCGGCCATAGGGAGGGGAGGGTTGAGCCCAGTTGCAGGCCAGGCCTTCCTCGCGCCAGCGGCATCTGGATCGTCTCAAGGGCTCTGTGACAGCTTCTGCTGCCCTGTGGGGAGAGCGGAGGGCGGCGCAGCGCAGATAAAGGGAGGCTGCCCGGCCCCCGCCCAGAGACACCGCCACCATGATCACGGTCAACGTCTCCTCCTCCATGTCCTGCGGGAGGCAGCCCCCCCCACAGCAGTCTGCCGGCCTGCGCCGAAGAGGGCTCAGGTATTGTGCTCCCTCATTTGCACTTTTGGCGGGGGGCGGCTCTGCGGGGCTTG